CTATTGATGTAAGTCTATGATTAGTAACCTAAATATTTCTAATTATATATGATGTATAAAAAAGTAACATCAGATGATAGTCTTTCACTATTCCTGAAAGTTAAATATGATGTGTCGGGCATATAAATTGGGTGGGTTAATAGTACTTTTCATGAGGTAATAAGTAATAATATAAAACCTAACAGAACAAAAGACATTACACTTTGATTTAGAATGAAAATCGTTTTATTCTGATAAATTATTATAAATAAACGTTATAATACATTGCACTATATGTACTTATTTTGTTATATTGTTCATTAAAATAAAAATACAAAAATCTAAGGTGATAATTAGTGCGGTAAATTATGTGAAAAAAAAATATAATAGTTGCATCTATCACTGAGGAAAATAATAAGATAGGATTAACAACCTAATGACTACAACATTTCAAAGCACATTATCTATCTCTAATATTTGATTAACACCTGCTTTGTACATAATTATTATGTAACTAAGGAAATTGCCATCATGCATGTTCTTGCAGCACGACATAATTTACAAGATATTCGGTAAGAAGAGTTAATTATAGACTGACTTAAAAATAGTTATCTCTATGGAAGTAAACTTGACGCGTTGTGATATAATCTACGGTGTTCTGATTCTCAATAACAAACATAATACGTTCCTAAAGACTGTTTACAGAAACTAATTAAATTGCTATTTTGACGAAATCTGTATATATTCTTTTAACATTGTATATTTTTAACATTATCATTAAAATTAATTTAACAACTCCTACAAGTACTTACTTCAAAAGTGAAAATTGTACGCAAGATACTAAACAGGAACTTTGAACTAGCGACAGAAAAATAGTTACTAGTATATAAAGATATATATCTGTAATTTATATTTGGACTTATACCATTCAACTACAAGAACGAGAAGCGTATCAAGCGAAACGAAACAATTCTAGTTAAAATGCACACGATTGCAGTATCATACATCGTCAGTAAGATCTCTTTGTTGTGAATGTTGAAAACGTAATCACAAATGTGTCTAAGAAATAATTTGATAATTAATTTGATATTGAAAAATTGAATTTTAAATCACAGTAAGAAATTTAACATTATTTTTCAATATATTTTGAACTATAGCTATATAGATATCAAAATAAAATGCAATTCAGATAAAAAACGAAATTTGCAAAATTCATTATTATGTTTTTGTAAATATTAATTAAATTAATGAATAATATTGTTTCTATAAATAGAAATATTAAGTATTACCAAATAGATTGATTAAATTTTATATGATTTGATCAATTGAATTACTGCTATTATTCTACGATTTGTTTTACGATAATGAAATATGACTTTAGCGCAAGTAGACTGAATACGTTATGTTCTCTATTTGCAATGTAGTTGAATCACGATTCATTAGACTAACAAATCGTCCACGATCTATTAGCAAGTCCGCCCATCGCATCTTCAATCCATTCGAAATCGTTTACCAATAACTCAGAGAGAAATATCCGCAGGTTAATTTCGTTTAGCGCGGTTTAATAGAGAACTACATTTTTTCCTTTTTTCTTACCAACTTGATCATTTATTTTTCGAAATTACGTTTATTTCTCTTAGCAAGAACACGGGATTTATTGAAACGATAAGATTCTAATGGAACGGCTACTTCTTGCCAATTGCAACTTTGAATGTTAATCGCTTCGGAGAAAATGGGCTTTATCTGCACTCATTTATCGGGGACGGCGATTGAGACAAATTTGCGTTGTGCGAGGCAAAAGGCAAGGCTGGAAAGGCAATTTGCAGCATAGCACCGGAGAACTAAATCAGGGCTATTTCATTGTAAAGTGATTTATCGCGATTTCACGACATTATGATCAGGGCAACAATTATTAACGAGATGTGATCATGATCAGAAGCGAGAAAAGCGAATCGATTCGTTTCCGGCCGAGAGAAGCAACATTTCCAGATTCCCAGCCTTTCTCGCCTCGTCCTCTTCTTGTTGTTCTTCTATTGCTTCTTGTTCTTCTTGTTATTCTTCTATTTTAGTCATTTGCCCCTCCGAAGACTTAACACAAACGCGCAAACACACAGCGAACAGGTCTTTAATTACAGAAACCTCTTCCACGCACAGCTCCTAATGAATCCTTAACAAGTATTCCCTTCATTATTTCGAGAATCGTTACGCGCCTAATCATAATTCATTGCTATTAAATGGTGACAGTAACGCCAAGGTCAACCGTCCATTACGCGCCTAGTCCCCATTAAATTCTATTCACTCTGAATAATTTTACAATTTCGTATCTCCAGATAAATACTGTACTGTATATAAGTAAATACAATATTAATTTATTTTTATGTTGGTTACTATTACTTTACATCAATACTGTTTTCTAACAACCTTTGTAAATGTTTTATGTTCAACTTTGCTCCTTTTAATATTAATTTTATTTAACCTGTAACTCGCCCCGAATAGAAATTTCAGTGCTCGAGTAGTTAAAGGTTAAGCAATAGTAATGAGAGCATACGTTTTCAATGTTCTAATAATAACGAAACAAATTTAGGGAATTTCAATAATTCATCAAGCAATAAATAATATAAAATGATTGCCAAGTGCACATTTACACCAATAAATAATTTTAAGTGCTCATAAATTTTTTTTTTGACGATTCATAAATATAATGATGGTAGTACTGCTATTATTAAAATAGAATTATTTGTAGTTGTCGAATATTGCTAATGCATAATTTAAATTATTTTGATAAAAATTTAAAAATAAATATAATTTAATATTTAAATAAAATAAATTGATGCGTTTTATATAATCAATTTATATAAATAATATTAGAAAATACACTAAAAAAAATAATCACACAAATTTGTCAAAAATGTACAGTATAAATAATGTTTAAAATTTAGGTATATAATGCGTACACTCAAGTGCGTTGTTTTCATAATGCATCCATAATTTAATGGCCATATAAAAACCCATAAATTTTTGCCGGAAAACTTTCCTGGCATGGCAAACTACACCAGGATTCGTATTATTCAAAATAATGATCGCAGCCGCAGTGAGTTATGTGGGCGATTCTTTTCGCTGCAATGTAATTGGTCGCCTATTTCTTGTTTATCTGTTCAATGGTTTTTTTTTCTGTCTTTCCCCTTTTTATCTCTCTCTGTCTTTTCTCGAGTCCCTGTGATATACGATATCGGTTTCCGTTTTACTACGGAAAATCATAAAACAAGTACGATTTTTCGGTTTATTTTCGTCTGCAACCAAAAGTCATATATCCGTGCCATAGCAAATTATGTGTCCTGAAATATACAGCTCCCTGCATTACTTACACTCGATTGAGTATGCTAACTTAATGAAATTATTTACTAATGCATTTTTACGTAGGCAATAAAAACTTAATTTGAAAATAAAATCACCTAGAATTTCACATATAGTTCATAACCAGTTGACAATAATAAATATGAGAAATAGAAAATATATTTATAATGGTACAATGATTCATGTTTTATTTATAATCGTTATAGTCCGATTTGAAAATTCCAAACGAAACTAATTTAAAGTACACTATAACAAATATCAAATTATATACGTGAAATATATAGCTCTTTTCAATACTATAATGAATTACATAAGCTAATTTAACTAGATGATTAACGAATGATCGGTTGATATTTTGACGTTGATTTGCAATTTACATTGAAAATCACCCAAATCGTCATATATGTACGCAAAAATATCATTTAACGACCCATTATCTAGGTAAATAACCGGTTAAATTCAACGGACTTTTATGTAAGCGAGGACATTAATATTGCGTAATATGGCAATCTGATTTGTGCATGCTAATAAACGCAATTTGTTATTGTGTAATTAATGCAAACCGTAAGAATCAGGAGTTGTAAATTTCGGGTTAAGAGCCTCCTCAGGATAATCACCCGTTTACATAACTGTCCCTACGACTGTCGGACACACGTATGCAGATCGGGGTCAGCCGAGCACAAATTAGTTGTTTTAATTAGCGATTTTCGATGTCACCGAGAAATATCGCTGAATCGCTTAGCCAATTAAAATTCGCTCGCGAGTTTTCGCCACGATCTATATAAATCCGGTCTCCATGCGGACGATAGTTACACAATATTCGCATATTCTCACTGTGTTTGTTTCTTTGATTATTTTAATATTTGATATTTTCGTTTTACTTCAGCAAATATTATGTAATGACCAGCTACATCCATTGCATGGGAAATTGTGATTAAATTTAGCAAATGAACGGTGAGATATTGGAACGTAGAAAGTATGTGAGTTTGTACGTTAACATTGGATATTTGCCTCTCCTACACTATTGTACAAACCATTTTCTATTGGTTAATACACAACAAGTATTCTTTTATTAAGAAATTATTCATTCTTCAAAATAGTAACTGAAAAAGTTCATTTCATTTCTTTTTTTTTATTTGCTATCCAGTACAAACTCTAATTATCTTAAGGAAACAAAAATAATTTAATAAAAAGTTTGATTTTTTTTTGTAAAAACGAGAAATCATAAAATTTAAATGAACCATCAACATTATTAAAAAAGTGTTTTTAATAATAAATGATGTTTCTTTTATTTTGATCTTGCGAAATCTTTGAACTCATGTTTTCCTGAAAAAATGTTTTTCCCAAACATATTATTTTCTTCCTAAAATTATTTAAAATGTTTTGTCTGTAAATAACAATGAAAATAAATTTAATTATTATTAGTACATTTTTTTGTTAAAACGACAATACGATAAATATTTCAATATTTATATTGAGCTATTCACGCGGTATTTCTTCCCAAAATAATATGATTTATATCAATTTCTTCTAGTATAAATAAAAAAAAACTATTCTCAACATAAAAACATTTTCAATTTAAAATTATTGTATATATCAACTAAACGTTATACCTAGATTTAAACAGTTACTGTTTCTGTACTCTCAATCATTTGAAATGAGAATAACTAAATCAAATTAATCACACTTAAACACACAAAATATATAATTAAGTTATATAAGTATTTACTATTAACATTGCAAATAACAAGTTGAGAGTAATAAAGAAATTATTTGGATGTGGACGACCATTGAGATCATTATAGAATCAGTAGTCTTATATACGGTGTAATAAAAAAAAGGTTAGTTGAAAATATAGAAACTACAATGTAATATAACAATAAAGTGTTTTATATGGATGTTGTGAAAAAATAATTTTACCATTAATAAGAATTATTGAAAATATTAGGAATTTTATCATTTCAAGAATATGAATATAATGACACATGAAGTAGTGTCCCGCAAACGCAAAATCCAAGAAACAGTAACTGATGAAGAAGAATTTGTTACGAAGAAAGCTTCAAACAAAGAGCAATCTGTTACGAAGGAAGCTTCAGACAAAGAGCAAAGGCAACACATTATCAATTTATGTATTTCCAAACTATCCAAGAGGTATAAAATAGTGCGTACGACTAATTCATCGATAAAAAAAAGTACATTGGACAAGGAAAACCAAGAAAACCCGGAAAGTGAATTCAAGAATGGCGATCAAATTAAAAAACAGAAGTTGAATATTTCTATACGTAAACACAGAAAAATAGCTGTGGGCCTTAGCCGTTCGGTGTTGATAGAAAACACTCTGAATAGACTCAAAGATGTGAACAAATTAGAAGAGCAGCGTAAGAAGGAATATTTAGAATTTAAAAGAATCCCCTGTAATTTTGCCCGGTGTGTGATGATAAAAAATATATTGAGTAAATATCAAAATAAGGTGCAACTTAAAGAGCCGTCAAATGAATCATCAGCATTTTTTAAGTTAGTGTTACCAAGAGCGTCTCCAGCTGACTACATCTACAATTCATTATCTACACCAGAACCACCCGAATTGTACAACTTTGAATATTTTCATATTTTCATGGGAATGAATTAAATTCTATATAATAGATTCGTTACTATATGTTAATAATAACATATGTTTTAATTATAAATTATGTTGTCTTAATTATTAAAATCGGCCCATGCAATTTTACATTTATTATAATTAATATTTTTATTGTAGATAATAATAAACAAAACAAAAATATTTTACCCAACATATATTTTTTTTATTTTTTTAGTTTTTAATAAGTAAATAAAACTCCTATTACTGAAGATAATATTAGAAATTACTTAATATTAATTTGTTTTATTCATGCAAATATATTATTGCAAAATATCAAAATAAAACCAACTAGAGACATATCTTTTTTTGTAGTATTGTAGATATTATTTTGTTTCAAAATTAAAAAAAAAAAACTTTTTTTATAAATGTTTAGAATTTCCTGCACATATCAATTGCATAATTGCAGATAAATGTAGCTATTATTATTATAACATACTTGAAACTCTAAACGTTCGATGAACTTTTAAAATTTATTGAAAACTGTCAATGTAAATAGTTAAGTAATTTCTTACAATTGTCAACAACCACATTATTTATTGATTATTCATACGTATATGATTATATATAAAAAAGGGTTTACATAAGATATGGAGCAAAACCGCCGAACCGAATCGCATTCTGCAGATGTAAAACAAATTTAGTTTATCTACATATATAAAATAGCCTAAAAAATATTTATAATATCACTGTAAACAATATTATTACAAAAAAAATGTTATTCGCTTAATGTAATAAAGAAAATAAAAAGATTTTGTTTGTACATCAAATATTTTTATAACTACAATCATCTGCAAGTTCTATCATTCAAAAAATTGGAGTTACCGAAACTTCGGTTGAGTGAATTTCTAAAGTAATAATAACAAATAAGATATATCAGTTCTTTCTTTTTTGTTAGTTATTTGTGTCCGGAAATCTATGGTTGAAAACAGCGTCGCGTCTGAAAACAGATCAGCGATTCGAATGCGTTCCAAATTTTATTATATAAAAACTGAATTCTTACAACAGTAAATAAGTAAATAGTGTTTGCGTCGAAAGTTTCCGGGGGCGTCGATATCGCAAATATGCAATAACCTCGCTACTTTTCCACTGAACTCGCAAATCTTTTGTAAATCTTGATTAAGTCCGCAATTTAGAGTGCCATATCCACCGTCGTATATTTTAATACCGGTCACATAAAATAGATTTTCTCGTCAATAATCCGACTTTACTAAAAGTTCTTATTATATACGTTACAGTTTATTTATTTATAGATGTTCACAATAAGTAGGTTAGGTTTAAATATAATCAATAAAACAAAAATCAAATGAAAAATTTTCGTTATCTATTAATTAATATTAAATAAAATTAACATTAGAGACTTTCCAAATTAATGTTTTCTCATGATTAGTGTCAAAATTAACAAGATTAAATTGCCACACCTATGCACATATTTAATTATTTTTTAATTCTAATCCAGAAAACTGTCGCATCTCATAAACCCATCAACTTATTACCTATTTTATTAAGTGTTTTTTTTTAAATTTATTAAAATCTCTCAAAAAATCTAGTTTTAATAGTGTCGATGGATAATAAACCTCATACTTGGTATAAATTATACTTACATAATCTAAATTTCAATAATATCAAAACTAAACTTAGTTAAATTTAACATATTATTTTAACGAATAAAAAATAAATTTAGTCTCTGAAGATACTACAAAGTTATCATCAGGTGAAGCTAAAAAAGAAAATAAGACTACACTAAGATATTTCAGTTGAAAGCGTTGAAGAAATTGTAGAACAGCTTAATACAGGATATGTAAAGTATTGATTCGCATACAAATGCACATAGAGTTAATCTATTGGGCATCAGTGAAGAATATAAACATTTCAAACATGTGGATTTGCAATTTTTATTAAAAAATAATGCATGCTTTAGCTTATAACTTATAAAATAAAGCTGTAGAAAGGAACTTAATAAATTTGACAAATCGTAAAGAAAATGTATTAATTTATGTGTATTTTTTTATATTTCTTTACATACGTTGGCCCCAAATGACTATCAATCTAAATCTTCCTGCTCGAAATGCATCGTATTATTGTTAATAATTATTTCAGACGGTTGAAACAATTCTATATTATTTCTCAAAAACATGTATGTAAGTAAAACAATTAGACAATTTTGTTTGGGTGTAAGTGTGAAATATAGTGTTGTTTCTAAGAAAGTTGTTCAACTATTGGGCGGTTGTTTTCTCTAGAAATCCAGGTGATTTTGACTGAGTCAGAGCTGCAAGAAAAAAATACCGAGCTAAATAAAGATTAACTCATTCAAAATAATTGCATTGCGTGTTCAAAATGTTATTGGATTAAATTAAATGTATACATGTTTATTAGCATTTTCTATTGCAAATATTTCTTGTTTTAGCATTCAGAACTTATTGAAATTTTCTTTTAAATATTAGAAAACATATTTAAAACAAAATTATTGAATTGCGCTAAAATCATAAACATACGAGAAACTTAGAAATGTATAAATATTAACAAACGCAATTATTATAATTTTGATCTAATTATTTTCTTTTATTGTTGAATTATATTGTCAAGATTTTTTTTTAAATGAGTGTATAAGAATAATTATATTATAATACGTCTACTAGATTTGAAATTGAATTGTATTTTTGCATTATAAACAAAAAAAACTGTAATTGAGATAAGTAATTTTTGTCAACATTACTAAATAATACACACACAAAAAAGCATTATGAATACGAAAAATTTTAGATCTTATAAATTGCTAATTACTATAGTATAGTTTAATAATTTAAAAATAAACTAAAAATTTAGTTGAAAAAAATAAGTAGGCTCTTAGTTTACTATTATTAAAAATAGTTTATAAAAAAATAGTACACAAAATTACTTATTATACATAAATAATTATTTTGTTTTCTTCTATACATTCGACTCTTTTGTGGTGTTTAATTTTATGCATTAAAGTAATCGATTAATCCGGTTTCAAACAGTGCGGGATATAGGCGGTACCGATTACTCTACTCACACCCGACGAAGTACTGTACTTATTAAACATTTGTTAAATGTAACAAATCCGTTATCTGATTATAATTTTATTGAGTGAATCATAGTTGAATATATAAATAGTACCAATTTAACGTCAATGACTTACTTTATTAATGAATGTATTAACGTGCAACCAGTTACTTTTTTCCCTAATTAATTTACTTTTATACTATTGTTTGTTCCTATGAGAAAATATCTAATTAAGATTATATACTAATAATAAACAAATTTTTGATAAAGCACATTGACACGGGAAATGAATTCGAAAACAAAATAATCACGTTTCGACATTACGTTCACTTTTTTCTCAAATTTGAGATTGCATAGCTCACTCTGATTCACGTAGATTATTTGTTTCTACGCGCATTTACGAGTTGATGAATTTCGTTGAGCAGGGAAACGGTCATCAAAACTTAACGACATCGCTGTTGATACGGTTACGCAACGGCGTTACGTCGATCAACAATTATTGTTGAAATGAAGCGAATGCCTTGCCGTTTGATAAGGCGGCATTCCTGCGGCTATGGTTCTCTTTCTCTCTGTCTTTCTCCTAATTCTTTCTCTCTCTTAGTTGCGCATGCAACAGCACGGATACCATGCAGCAATAGAGAGACACAAATAAATAAATAAATAAATCCAGGAATAGATGTAAATCAAGAGTGCGTGTGTTTAACTCACCCAGTGTATAAAAGTAAATAAGTAGAGACAAATCACAGACTTCTTACAAACACATATACATTATGCGTGTTGGATTTATATAGACGTATACAAGTAAAAAAGAAACACACTAGTATATATTTTTTGTGCTCTCTCTCTTCGTCCTCTTGATCCAGTATTTTTACCAAGTTTCACAACACTTTTCTCACTGCCGAGGGACATCTGTACCCCAAAAAGAATGTTACTTCTTTCGACGGCCAATCGGAAAAATCGCACTCGCGTCGCCGATTAAAGCCTGGCTCTTCGTAGACTACTGTAGTTGTGGGCGCGCGCGCGACATAGTTTTTCTTTTATCCTTTTCCCCGATGATCTTTTTTATATATTTGTGTATTTTCTCTTACGATTAACTAGTTTATTACAACTACTATTACTATTACTTACTGTATGTATTGAATATTCAATTCTAATATGAATTCGTCAGATAAGGCCTTTATCTTTATCTGAATTGGGAAATGGAAACGCACCTTTTACCCGGAAAGGTAACTCTCCTGCTTCTCCAAAATAAACTAACTAAACTAAAACTACATTTACTCAAGACAAATCAGGAGCAGAGAAATAATCTAACTAATCGCGTATGGCACTGGTTTTAAGTCTTCTTTATTAAGAGCGTACGATTAACAATAAATTCACAGCCTTTCGAAAGAGGTGTTGATGCTTTAGTCCCGACACTTTAAATACCAATCTGGCTACATGTGTATCCTTAATGTTCGCGCGCGCGACTTGCTCCCTTCGTGTTCGCTCCCTTCGTAGGGATCGAGTTCGAAAAATACGAGGAACATACAAGTTTGTTCCGGTGTGGCGTTCGCAGGACGACGGCTCGCCTCAATGGTTCGCTCGCAGGACGACGGTAGCGGTCCTGGTGAAGTCGTTCGTGAAGATGTCGATGGGGAAAATGACTGTTATGACGGAGGCCTTTTGGAACAGTGGAAACATGTTGGACTGATACACCTCGACCCGCGGTCGGAGACTGTTCCAAGAGGAGAGACCCGCCATACGCGGTGTATTCTTTAGCCCCCACTGCTTCGTGTGGTCTCTTTACTTCCATTTAACTCTTTTTTTCCTGCTCTTTCTTTCGTCCTGGGCCTTCCTCGCCGATTTGCTATATAATTTTCCCCGCCAAATGCGATCGAAAATAAAGGCCGATAACAGGGGACACCTCTTATTAACACTAATCCACTCCCACCAATCCTTGTCGTGAGATAAGTCGCATCGCACGAACATTTTTATTTATTATTTTTAAACCAGACGCGTGCTTCCCCCATTCGGATTAAATTTAGATTGCGACCTGATTCGTTTTCAGATGTCGATCTATTATTGTTGTTTTCTGTCTATCTCACCATAAACAAATACATTAATTACTACTTTTTATTTGTCAACAACAAATTTGATAATGTCGATTAGGTTAATAATAAACGCATCAAACTTTGTATCAAATATTTTGAAATTTATCAATTAATAACGATCTCTAAATACCATACCAATCGAATAAAAATTGTGTAAAATATAATGGAAATATTAGAAACATATTATATAGGTATACAATAAATTTTGTTTATTGCCCTTGTGATATTATGGCCAAGTCTAAGAAAAATGTATATACTAAAATTAAAAACAAAAAAGACGGTATAGTATAAAGATAGTCTTATGTAACTTAACGGTGGGACACTCAATGTCCACAGGAAAGAGGAATACCCTTTAATTTGATCGATATGTTAAGGGATGATTTTTTATATTCCATGCCATCCGATGTTGACGAAGTTGTCTGATAGAAATTTGTTGTGTCTAGAAATTTCTGGCCGCTGAGAGAGTTAACTTCTGTTATCATATTAATAATTATTTAATTCAAATTTCAAATTGTCTATTTTATTTTTTCTATAACGTGATATGTACGGTATAATAGTGGTTTCTTTACTATTATTATTAGGCTGAGAGGCTATGGTCAATGAAAATTAGTAAATATATAAAAATAGTTTGTTTATTTACAATATAAGTTAATATTTAAGATTAAAAAAACACAATATTTTAATAATCATATTTCTTGCAATAAAATGTATTTATCACACTTAAATTTATTCAAAATTATTACTTTTGACATGATTTTTCATAATTTTCATATATTTTTTATTACATTTTTATTACTTTAATATTCAATTTCCCCTTATTTCTTAAATTTCAATTTAAACTTAATGTAATTGATAAGCAAAATAAATGTATTTCTCGTGAGTAGTAGATATTTTAATAACAAATATTATTTCCAATATCTTGTTTTAGCCATAATTCATTTTGAGAATGACTCATATAATTTTTTTTAGTTATATTAAAAAAAATAGTTACTAAGAATTAAACCATTACTAGAAACTATATTGAAAAGTGGATATAAAACATAAATTATTTTGATTTGTTTTATATTTTAAAACATAATATTTTGATATTCTTATCTACTTCGTCAATGAATCACCTAGGGGACGGGACTATACGTATTTTGATTGTTTTTATATTAATGCTGCAGTATAGTACACACATATAGACATATAAATTTAAAAAAAATAATTATATAGAACTTTATATTCAATTATATCTGTTGTTAAATGGAAATTAATTTCAAATATAATTTAAAAAATATGATTCAACAATGTACAATTTTTTTCATTGCAAGTTTTTTTAAACTAAAATATCCTGGCTCAGAATACAAATTTTACTGTGCATATTTAATTGGTCATAAACATGTTGTCATCATTTTAGAACTTCATTGAGAAGAACAAACTTTGCAAGAGAAGCCCAAAATCAGATGGAGACCAGAGCGAGAGAACACACGCCGGCCAATTTTATAGTGGATAATCGTGCATAATTTTAGGGTATGCCGTAAATTTTATATAAGGCACAATAAGAGGTTCCGCTCATTCCCATCGACGGTTTTTTGCGGGCGTTCTCTTTTTTTTACCTTGTTCAACAAGACACAGCATACGAGAGAGAAGAACATGTTCAAAAGAGACGAGGCATGTTTCCCATGTTCAACCTGTTTACTTAGTATTTAAACGCAGCCTTTGATTTATTCCGTTTCGCGAATTCACCCACTTATTATTATCATTTCTTCTTTTTGGTTAAAAATTGGTATACTCGATCCAATCAATTTAAACAAAAAAAAATAAGTAAAACATTGCTAAATTTTGACACCATATTCGATCACAATAAAATATCATTTTTACATACAAATTAGTACTTAATTTTATAACAACTAATATAACCTTTCTGTTAATCTTTTTGGGGAGATTAACTTTCTTTTAGAACTAAATCACATTTTATTTCTAAAATAGAATAATTTAAAATTTAAAAATGAAAAAAATGAAAATGAATTGTAAAAAAAATGACTTGCTTAACGAGCGACGTTTCGCATAACGAGTGACGATGAGAAGAGAAGTGCCGAATTGTGCTCCTGCTACATCATTTTGAAAACTTGTGTACACATATTATGTGTATTTTTTTAATATGTTTCACTATACGCGAAAAAAATCGGAAATCTTGGAACGGATTAAACTCGTTAAGCGAGGTTCCACTGTATTTCATTAACACATATATTTCAAGGGCTTCAATTTAGAGACATTAGGGTAACTCTTTGAGGGGCCAGAAATTCCTAAATTTCTAACCAACTGAATCAGACAACTACGTTAACTAAATAAACATCGGATGGTATTGTCTATCTAGATTCATCCTTTGACATACCAATTAAAAGGCAATTTCTGTTTCCTATACATTTCCTAAAGAAAATATAATAATGCCCAACTAGGCATATTCAAAATGTATACCACCGCCCCAATTAGGGTTTACAGAATCTAGAAAGGGAATAAAACTATATATTTCATTGAGAAGAAATACAAATAAATGTACTAATCATAATCATTGTTTTGTTTGCATGTGTCAATTTTTTAAATCTAGATAACAGAACATTTCATAATAATGTAAAATAATAACAACATTATTTATCGTATTGAGATATCTATATCTGAAATATATTATCTTTATTAATTTTCATTCATTAAATTCACATTATTATTATTTTTAAAGGTTTAATATTAATCACGATTATATTCAACTGAATTTATAAAAAAGATAAGGATATTATTAGCTTATAGTAATTCGTAAATTAGAAAAACCATTTAAAACTAAACCATATGAGAGCATAATTTTATATTAATTTTTTTTTACGTTGTGTAATTTTATTTACAATCTGTTCATCAATGTGAACATTGAGTAAATTTAAGATCGAGGTTGACATTTGGTAGGTAATATTTCTCGGTGTATAGTTTACCATTATGATGCTTAGATTTTTCATTTGTTAGTTGGCTGTCGTCTAGTAGGTTAACTTCAGTAGTATATTGATGCTCTGCAATTCCACTATTTCCTTTCACTGTGAATCTGCTGCTATCCTTAACACTGTCATTGTCCATCGACATGGCTGAAGGTCCATATGCTGAACCTCATTCATTTTCACGTGATGAACGATGGCCCTATTGCTGTAAGCACCGAGAGGGCTCACAAAAGGGCCTAGCTTGACCAGGATTTGAACTGGCGACGTTCGATCGTGGATAGAGCTTAACCATTCGGCTGTTAGTCGCCCCAATTTTATATTAAATGGAAAAAAATATAATAAAACGATTTGTTAAAATCAAATAAGAACACGTGGACGTCTTTACAAAGTGAAAACTAATGCATAACAGCAATTATAAAAGTATAGTTAATAGATTTGCACAACAATAATAACGTTAATGGACGATGTTAAGGTACTTCAATTTTCATTATACATGAATTTTTATAACTTAATATATATATATATATCCCTCCAATACAATTATAAACCTTACAGTTAACACGTTGAATAGGGTTTTTTTTTTTTAAATATAATATTGAATTAAAATTTTGAATGAAATATAATAATTACATTTTTTAAATATTTTTTATAAAAATTCAATAAATAAAGAAGACTTTAAGCAGTAAACTAGAAAAGTAAAATAAATATAATTTTATGCAATTATGTTCAGAAGTTGCATGGTTTGAAAACAACAAACAACAAACCTGTGAAAATATAGAAACTTAATACTTTAATTCAGAAGAGTATTGCAATAATTACATTTATCTATTATATAAGTGGTGTCGAACGTAGAACAATAAACATATTTAAAATACCTAGCAGAATAAAACAGAATAATATGCTATTTTACTACATTGATATAAGTAGTTGGTTATTGTTTCAAACATGTACCGTTGGTCGGTGGCATATTAGTAACCATTATTTTTGTTTTCTAGAAATATTATTATTAATATTATATTCTCTTTTACGAATTCACATGAAAAATCTTGTTTTAAAACGTTGCATCGGTTGGATCATATTGATTACAGACAATTTCATTGCGAGTTCTCCGAGGCGTCGGTGTTGCATGTGCAACGAATGTATAAATCTTTGCTGAAGAAGCTGAAATGTCAAAACAATGGCAGGATCGGAGCTGGCGCGAAAATTTATTATCCTCGAAAGGAGCCCGGCAGTGGTAATTTCGATGCGCGCATATACACATACACACGCACATATATATGTATATAAATATTTGAAATTATGGTAATAACAATTTGACATACATTCACTCCTCCGAGGCGTCAGTCCGAAGATTTTATTATTTTTAAATCGCCCGAGATTACACACTTTACACACATGTAATTGCAATGTGCATACGGCACACCGCGGAAAAGGTAAAATGGATGGTAGAACGGAGCCAGGAGAAGAATTCCGAGGAGGTTGGGCGAACATAAATTAAGGTATGGCAGTATTAATAAGCGGGGATTAATTGGAGGGAATCTCTTAATTCTTGTGCAAATACAGAAGAACGACGACCGTATCGAAATACTCGACATCGACGGCGGTGGCTTCGGCGGCGGCGGCGACCGCCCAGACGTCTTATTTATGCGTACTTATAT